CACGGCGACCCCTCTTTTCGCCCGGAGGTCCCCCCCCCCCCCCCGAACTAGGGATGGCAACGGCAGCGTGGTGAGGGCCGGTGGCTACATTTTTTTCAGAATTAGGTTTCCTCTCCTTTTAAAGGGTCAGGGGAAACTTAAGGAATTTCCCCACATTCTGTTAGTCAAAGGTAAACTTCATCTGTTTGCGTAGGCTCCATTGGGGGTGCAGTCCTGACCCAGTTTTCTGGGAGTCACGTTGAGCCCTGGAGATTCAGTCCACTCACATGGACGAAGGTGCCCGGGTTTGCACTCTTCCCTTGGCTCAGGCTTTCACTGAAGCCATTCCCCCCTCCCCCACCAGAGTGCCTACTCAGAAGTAAACCCCAATGTATAAGCTGGGCTCCAATTCCCGGATTGGACGGAAACCAGATGTTGGGGGTCTGAGCTGAAGCAAGAAAGACAATCCCAGGGGAAGGCATGAAATGTAGCGCAGTGTGGAACAAATATAGAGGGGAAGCCCCCCCCCCCAATATTAGAATCAGGGAATCCTATGAAAACCATTCCTCCCCCTGTGAGTCAATGCTCTAAGGTGATAAAGCGCTGTTCTTTATACTGGGTAAACTGGTGGAACTCTTTGCCCCAGGATACTGCAATAGTCAGCAACTCCAGTGCATTAAAAAGAGAATGGATGCAATTAGTAACATTCTTTTTGCATCAGGGAATATTCCTGAGAAGTATGAGTGGCAAAGCTATTATGGTACTTGGCATGAATGAGAACTTCCCGTTGGGGCAGCTGGTTGCTCTCCCTGGGACTTGATAAACTTTTGGCCCCATCTGTTGGAATTCCACAAGTTTTGTGCAAAAGAGCATTTTTTAGTCTGGCCTGAATCGGTTGCCAGCAAGGGTTTGCAGGCTGCTCTTGAGCAAGGTGCAAAAAATGAAAACATATCCTTCCTCCAATCCCATTTGCATCTCATGGCACAGCTCCAGAAGGGCACACTGGTTTGCAAAAAGGGGCACTTTCCTAATCTGCATTTGGGGGAGAAAGAGCCCTTGACTGGTCTTAGGGGCAATTCCGTTTGCCCGCTGTTAGAATTCTGGTGTTGAGCTGACTGGAGGGGCTGGCTGATGGTAAAGTTTAAAAATATTTAAAACAAAGTATTTCCTAATGGTTGCCAGGGGCCAGTTAGGTGGGTGACAGCTTTTTGCCCATGTGGATGCTAAGAGTGTGTGGGTCACCCCCTGGAAGTGGGTGGGTTTGGGGCTGAGGCGTTCAATACAGCTGTGTGGCACTGACATTTGTACCTTGTCCCAACCCCCAGCAACATTTTCTTACAAAAGCAGAGCTAATGCAGACACCCCCACCCAGGCACAGGGGTTTCTCGGCCCACCTACAGCTGCTTTAAGGACAGGAGGCAGAGAAATTGCAGCAAGAACGCGGGGTTAGTCTGTGGGGGCAGATGCCCGCTGGAGACAGACATGATGATTGCTGAGCATGTTAACTTCCTGGCCCAGTTGCTTCTGCTGGGTTCCTGCGGCTAAAGCAGGAGGGGGGAACCTGCAACCCCCTCCCCAAGCTTAGGCTGTGGTCCCCTCAAAGCAAAAGTTGCTGTCACGTTGCCCTTTTTAATGTGGCAAAAGAAGGACATTAATACAGCAATGTTTTTAATTTCAGTTAATGTTAAGTAGAGGGGGAGGATCATATGCAGAGTATTCCGTGAGTCTATTTTTGTCCAATAAACGTATAATCAGGTGTAATTTGGGTAGAGAGAGACAGTTTGGGGTACTGTAGTGGTTAAGGCATCAGGCTAGAAACTGGGAGACTGTGAGTTCTAGTCCGGGCTGAGGCACAAAGCCATCTGGGTGACCTTGGGCCAGTCCCTCTCTCTCAGCCCAGGGAGGAAGGAGTCCAGGGCAAACCACTTCCAAAATTTTGCCAAGAAAATTGCAGGAATCTGTCCAGGCAGGTGCCAGGAGTCCATGCTGACTGGAAGGCAGCAAAAAAAGAGGGGAGGGAGTGGGTGGGCTGCCCCCATGCTTGGAGCCACCTCTTCTCAGACAGGGGTGTGTGGCAGATCAAGTGTGGCTTGGAAATTGCGAGTCTGCATCTAACATTTGCGTGAGCACCATGTGCAAATGTTGAACTCAGGCCCTTGGTTTTCTTAGCAGATGCTGTTGCTAACAGAGCAAGAAATAATAGGAAGTCCACAAGTTCCCATAATCAAAGTCTGCCACTACTTGAATGGTTCCTTTTTTATTAGATAAGTTGTTCCCCTTAGATCGAGGGACGACAGCCTTTTGGGTTGATGGATTCAGAATCCAACACGGAAACTAGTCAACTGACTAACTTTCTCCTCAGGTTTTAACTCTCCAATTTAGGTGGCTGGAAGATCTTTTGTTAAACTTGGAACTGTTGGAAAATGCTCCCCCTGCCCCAGCTTTTAGAGGATGTGACACTTCGGCATGTCACTTTTCAGTAAAAGTGGAGTTTTGGTGCCAAAAGATCCCTTCAACCATAAAACACTGGAGCCAGTTCCGACCTCTAAGCCCAGCTAACCTTGATCTCTTATTTTGAGGTTGA